TGTCTTAGAGATCTCAGTGGTTCAGGTTAATTGAGACTGCTGGTCCTCCTACACTGTCACCCTCCTCCTCAGCTTCTTCCAGCCTTTCCCTAATTCAGCCACTTCTGTCAGCAGCTTCTGTCTATTGGTTGGGTGTAAATATCTGAATCTCACTCTTTCAGCTGCCTTTTGGGTTTTCAGGAGGGCAATAAAGTTAGGTCCCTTTTTATGAGAACTCCATAGCCTCAGTAATATTGTCAGGCCTTCGAGCCTTCACTTGAGCTGGATCACAATTTGGGACTGTCACTGGATCTCCTTTTCCTCAGGCTTTTGTTCATTTTTGTCCCTGTAGTTCTTTCAGACAGGAACAATTATTGGTCAGAGTTTTTAACAGTGGGATGTCAACCCCATTTCTCACTTGATCCCCTTTCTGCTGGAGGAGGGCTCTAAAGTCCCATTCCTCACTATAGGTTATGTCATCTAAGGTCCATCCCTTTAAGTCCTCAGATTTTATCACCTCCCAGGTCTCTGGTCCATTCTGGAAGGTTCCCCACCTCCTACCTCCTGAGGTTGCCTGTTTCCATATTTTCTGCTGGTCCTCGGGGCCTAAGTCCTTTTCCCCACCCAACACCTAATCATGTTATGCTCTCCCATCCATGTTCCCTTTCCCACCTAAGTACCTCCCTCCCTTCCCCAACCTGTGATTGCATTCTTCTTCTTCCCTAGTGGGAAAGAAGTGTCCCCAGTTGGTTCACCTGGCTTCTTAACCTTTGAGTTCCGTAGGCATTAGCCTGTGTATTCGGTACTTATTTTGATTAATGTCCACTTATTAGTGGCTACATACTATGCATGTCCTTTGTATCTGAGCTACTCATGATGATATTTTCTAGTACCATCAATATCTGCAGGTCAGATGAGGTCACCAGAGAAGTTAAAGGAGAAAGTAAAACTTTAAGGGACAGCAGGCAGTTTAGGGAAATTAGGATTCAAATGCAATGACCTTGGATGAAGTGAACTGCAGTGGAGAGGGTGAACTTGTATATTGGATGGCCAGGACATCAAGTGGAAGGATAGTGTTGCCTTCCAACAGTCAAAAGCTCTGACTCAGGATTGGTCCTGTCTGAAGGAATTGAAGGGTCAAAAGGGGAGAAGAACATGAGAAAAAGGAGGTTCAGTGACAAGCCCAAATTGGGATTCAGCTCAAAAGTGGATTTCAAACAATTTTTATGAGTAAAAGATAAAAAATGACTCCAAGAGTAGAGAGGCAATCCTTGACTCTTGTAACACTATTAAATTTAGTAAAACCTGATGGCACAACTTAGCAAAACAGCATAAGTATACTCATTGATTCAAATACTAAGATTTCCTGAATTAGATATGAGAGTACACAAGGATTATGAGAAGCTCAAAGGTTTCTGACATATTTTTGGTCCTGTTTTTGAAATCATGAAGGAATGTTAGTGAGAATCTGAGTCTTGTAAATTATTGTGAGGTAGGCAAGGATAATAATGGGGTGCAGCTTCAGTTTCTGTAGAAGCCCAAATGTTGAAGTGTCCATGGAAAAGTTAATAATTCACATCACACATGAGAGTGTTCCTGGTGAGAGCCCAACACAGGCTGTTTGTGTGGTGCAGTCCATTTGGTACAGAAATTCTATCATTTTGGAGATACCTGTACCATGGGATCTGCAGCAGTCATGGAGTATAGCTAGCCTGAACCAGCAATAGAATATGTGTGTGGTTCTACTAGCAAATCTGGAGAAATGGTACAGTTTGGAACACAGAAAATAGTACCCAATATCTGATGCTGAACTTTTAAAATTTAAACTTTTGTTGTCATTAGATCTGATTGTCACTGTGATTTTTTTTTCTTTATAAGCTAAGAAATATTTTAGCTAATTGTGATTTTTAAAAATTATTTACTTATTAATTAGTCATTTTATTTACTTATATTGCAAATGAGATGTCCCTTCCAAGTTACCACTCCACAGCAACGCCCATATCATCACCAGTCTCTCCCTCCCCTTTGACTCTAAGAGGGTGCAATCTCTACCCATTCACCCATTCCTGCCTCATTGCTCTAGCATCTTGCTCTGCTCGGGAATCTGGTCTTCCCAGGACCAAGAGCCTGCCTTCTCATTGACGTCAGATAAGGCCATCCTCTGCTACATATGTATCTAGAGGGATGGCTCCCTCCATGTATACACTTCCATAAGTACTTTAGCCTTTGGAGGCTCAGGGTGGTCCAGTTAGTTAATATTCTTCTTCCTATGGGGTTGCAAACCCCTTCAGCTTTTTCAGTTCTTCCAATATCATATGTAATAATTGAAAGGTATTAGCTTTTAAAGATACTTTGGAAAATTTGAGACAATATTTGAGAGAGAGTCAACTTTGTAAGTGACTCATGTATTTTAAAAAGACAGGTCCTAAAATGCTTTAATTCATAGACTTATGGAAAGGCACACAAGATTCCGTCCTAGACAAAGAATTCTAGAAAACACATGTCTTGCCAGGATGGACTATCTGAAGAAAGGCCAATGGTAGATTTTGGTGTGGGTACAGCCTGAGATGCAGTGGAAATCCCAGCATACCTTAGAACCAATTATCAGGAGAAGACCACAAGAATGGCGAAGCTGTAGATTGAGCTCCCTATGCTTAGGAGATGAACTGTTTGCTCTGAATGACAAAGCAACAGAAGTATAGTTGTCTGGGCATTATGAAGACCACAAGATCCAGAGTCGCAGATGTTATATTTTAAGCCATTGCTCTATTGGATTTTGGATTTATTACAATTATGACTGTGGCTTTTCTCTATCATTTAAAGGAAGAGACTATAAAATGCTTGCATCAGTTTGTCACTGAGACATTTTGGAAATGTAAAGGGACATTGGGTTTGTAAACATAGCATGGACTTTAAAAATACTGATCACAAAGACTGTGGAACTAAGAGATATAATGTCTATGTTATGTTATTACGATACTAATATGAATGTTGGGGATGAACAAAAGAGAAAAGTCATGGATTTATGAAAAAATGTGTATGTCAGATTGACATGGGATACATTTGGCTGTTTTGTTTGTTTGTCATAATGACCCAAACTTGAATATGTCTGTTTTGAGGGAATTTCAACCATGACAATGCCTTCATAAGATTGGCCAACTCTGCAGGGCATTTATTTTGGACAATAATTAATATAGGAAGGCCCAGAGAAGTATAATGGCGCCAACTCCAGGCAGTTGGGTCCTGGGATTTGTAAAATACAGGTTGAACTCGCAATCAGGTGTATGCCCAATTAGCAGTACCCTTCCATAATCTCTACTTCAGCTGCTGTCTTCAGTTTCTTGCTTTTGAGTTCTTGCACTGACTTTCCTTCATGCTGGACTCTAAAAGTCAGCTGAAATAAAGTCTTATTCCTCAAGTGGTTTTGGTTTTTTAACACAATAGAAACCTAGTTAACACTAACAAGAAGTTGCAGAGATGGTATTATGATTTGAAAGTGTGTATAAGGTCTAGTGCTAAAATGCATAAGTATTGTAACAGAAACAAGATTTTCAATGTCAATTCAGCTTTTAGGTATAATGACTCATTCTATTATATATTATTATGAAATGTACTTCATACACATTTTTAATCTTTGATCAGTATCTTAGAATTAATAACACCAGAAGTTCCATTGATGCAATAAAACGTGAGCTCTGAAAAGAATGAGTTGTTTCATTCTGGATATGAATTACATGGGCATCACTATCCTACAAAGAGGTGGTCACCTATATACAATTGCAACCATTGCTTTATGAACAATATCAAAGAAATTTTAGTCAATGGTGTGAACACAAAAATGAGTATTGTTTACACTGTTGTTCTTATGAGGTTGTAAAACCTTTCAGCTCCTTCAGTTCTTTCTCTAACTCCTCCATTGAGGACCCCACACTCATTCCAATTGCAGGCTGTGAGCACCTGCTTCTGTATTTGTCAGACTCTGGCTGAGCCTCTCAGGAAACAGTTATATCAGGCTCCTGTCAGCAAGCACTTCTTGGCATCTGCACTAGTATCTGTGCTCAGTCTCTGTATATGGGATGGATCCCCAGTGGGGCATTCTCTGATGGACGGTCCTTCAGTCTCTGCTCCAAATATTTCCTCCTTTGAGTATTTTGTTCCCCCTCCTAAGAAGGACTGATGCATCCACTCTTTGGTCTTCATTCTTCTAGAGGTGATGAGAAAACCATAGGAATATTTTTACAGAAAGTACAAGACACTATTAATAACTCATTGAGTACAGAATTGGAGAAGGATTACTATCAAGTATTTATTCATGCAAGAGAATAAACATGAAAAATTTACTTCTGCAAAGGATAGGTAAATAGTTTGGAAGAATCTATAAGAGCCATAGTTTTACAGAGATATTTATGTCATTTAAGGAAGTTGACACTGCATTCAAGAAAATAGTTTGAAGTTATTGCAAAGCCTAATTCTCAATTGAATTCAGTTTTTTGTTTTTGCTTTAAAAAATAGCCCATTGTTATGCTATACAGTAGTAGTTTGACAGAGGTGCATTCCTAGTCCAATTTATCTGACGGTTAATGCACTTATCGATATTGCTGATTTGTCTAATCACATATACCGTAAGGGCTGATTCTTTTCATCCTTATGAGCTTTTATATTTAGAACCCCTCTTACTCACCAGGTAAAATCTTCCAGTCTGTGAATACATTGCACAAATGGGACTCCATCTCTTTGGCTGAGCCCTTCCAGTCTGTCTGCAGCTAATTACTGCTATTCTAGCATGCGTCCTCTATTCTCTCATATGGGTGTAGACCTATAACAATTTTGGAGCTTGATAGGAAATTTTTAGAGGCCTAGTGGAATGATTTTTGTCCTCGTCTTCAAATTTGTTGAGGGTATGTTTCTCTTAGACTGTAGAGGCTTTATCACAAAGCATCTTGTTATAGTGTAATGCATTTGGATGTAAGTTGTTATTTCTTGAAAACAGAAGTTCTTATATAACTTTCATTTTATATTAAAAAGAGACCATGATTATAGCACCCTGCTACCACAAATTATACCTCAAATTTACCCCAGTGGTGAAAATCTCAGGGTCAGTATTTCTGAAGGGTAATGGATGAGCTTCATTCTGGCAAACTCATTTTGTTAATCATGGTATTTTCCCAGCCAGATAAGCATAACTTTCCTTTTTAGAAAAATACAGTTATCATCCTTTAAGGTTCAGTGGAACAAATTCTCAGACTCCTGAAACAGTTACTCTATGAAACCATGTGACTCATGCTATATGCTTGCATAGCTACAAGTAGCAGGTAAGAAAAAAAAAAGCACAGAACTCTGTGTTTGCATGAGGATTTGTTTTTTTTGTAAACATCTTTGAGAATTTCTCATTAGTTTTGGCCATATTCACCCTCTTCCCAAACTCATTCCAGATCAAGTCCCTTTCTTTCCCTACCTAACTTGCGTCTTCTTTTTTTTCACCCATAAAGACAGATTGGTGCTACCTAATATGTACATTGATATGTGACCTTCTACTAAAGCATAATCCACCAAAATAATTCTAGAAGAGAATTATACCTGTGGGAAATAGGGACAGTAAGAGAGAGGAGAAACCACATGGCAGTTGTACGCATAAATTCATAGAAGTGGTTGTGAGAGCTGTCACAGTGCCCAAGCGACTTCAAGCCAGATCAAATCTCAGCAAGGAAAAGGGAGGCAGGTAGTAAGTCCCACACCTACAGTAGGACTTACAGGCAATTGAAAACAGCAAAGAGTCACTTGTCAGGTCTATTATTAATACAGATAAGCATAAACTTAATTTTGTTTCCTAGGTAGAATTTATTTTGGTATCATGCTAAAGGCAGACATTCCAAAACATTAAACAAGTTATTATATTAATATTTACCTACTCTTGCATGATAGAGAAGGAAAGATGAGACAGAAAGAGGAAGGGAAGTAGAGACAGAGGGAGGAAAACAGGGAAGGAGTAATACAGATAGATAGTGGAATTCATAGTGTCAGGTTGAGGACATGGATCCTTCTGAGCCATCTTGTTGCTTATTCTTGTATTTGCAAATTCAAACATACAAACAACATGAGGACACTGATAGGAAAAAACACTAAAAGGTGAAAAAGAAGCAAATACAGTGCATTATTGATTATTGAGTAATAGTGAGATTGAGCAGAATTCTAACTCAAGGGGAATCAGAATAGAAAGAAGCAAGCAAGGCCTTACTATCTCTTACCACTATCCGAACAGGAAAGTCTTAGTGCATCCACCAGTTATTATCCACTTAAATGTTTGTTTGAAATATGTCCTTCATTATAATAACATGGATATAACAACTTGGAGAAATATAGAGGCCTTGAATTTGAGAGAGATTCAGGAGTGAACAGCATGCACTGAAGGGTTAGAGGGAAAATAGAAAGGGAGAAAGATCATGCAATTATATTTTAATTTCAAAATATAAGAACTAAAAACCATAGAGCATATTTGGGGAAATAAATAGATTCATGAGAATTTGAATAAAAAGTAAAAAGAAAAACAGATGCAATCTGAGCATCCGGACAAATAATAACGGGTTTTGAATGCCAACAATGGTCCTTCCTCCCTGGACCCAGAAATATTAAAATTAAAAATCTTTCTTACTTTTAGGTCAAGCTGAGAATTTTAAATAAAAACTCTGCATCCTATTTTGAGACTGCTTAAGAAGCCCTTTGCATTCAGTCAGCATGAGTGTGGTCTTCTCTCAACTGTCAGGCAGAACGTAGCCTAAGACAGTTGCAAACAAACCTCAATAGCCCAAAATGATCCAAAAGACCTTGCAGGGAGACTGTCTTTTCTTGGTGGTTTACAAAAGGTAGTTTTCAGAGCCATTTAGTGCTTGTCTATGAGGGTGAATGCCCAGCTAAATGCTGGTGTTTTCCTAACTCCACACAGATGTACTGTGTGATTTGCATTTGAAAATAGTCTGACAAATACATCAACTATGCATTTCTTCTGAGAATAGCCATCATTTTCCAGATAAATATTGCGTAAAAGCATCTCTTGACTTATCCAGGTCAGTATGCAATATTTGAAGGCATTCACTTACGTATTATAACAATAAATTAATTTTAAATGATTGCAATGAAAAGCTTTCTACACTCTCTGTCAGAGTCAGTACATGATAAGGTTACGCCCCTGAGACCACCAAAGTAGAAATGTAGGCAAATGTGTTCACTTCATTATTTTATCAACATGAAATAATTCTTAGATAATATTATGTTTGTTGCTCCATTACCCTCAACTTCTCCCATTAGAATCTTGTAAGCAAATTTTAAGGATGCCTGGGTAGTCATTTTCCTGTTGTTTTATGGTTCTCAGTCTACCTAATTATTCATACACCCATCAATTTATTCCATAAATTACTATGCCTTGGTTGTGAGCTGGGCATTGCTCCAGACACTCAGGGTGGGCAAAGCAAAGTAATTCAATTTAAGCTCTGAAAGCCTACAGACCAAGGAAAGTAAAGTGGCCTGGGGGAAATGTATAGCAGAAGACAACAAATACATGGAGATGAATGAATCATGGTAACCATGTGAGATTCCATAATGTCAGAAAAAAAAGATGCCTCTTAAACATATGAGACATTAACTATTCAGGTAGACAGGATGTTACAAATACCTACAAAAGTACATCTTAGGCCATAGGTAGTCTACCTTGAAGGTTACAGGAAAGCCAAACGCTTCAGACAAAACTTGATGGACATGCTGTGAAGAATGACTAATTAGGTTGAAGGCTAGTATGGGCATACATACACTGCAGGGTAAAAAGTGAGGACGTATTAGTGTTGGGTTAGAGCATGCAAGAGAACTATAGATAAAATGGAATATGTAACATTCACATCAGAAGCAGAAACATTTTAGACATTAGAAATGTCTAAAAAATGATGGTTTTATCTGAGTTGTGGAGACAGACTACAAGGACATCATTGAAAAGGAATGAATACATCTTTGAGTTTGGATAGAAATAAGAGTTTCAAAGTAGAAGCTCAGTCAGAAAATGGTCAATGATATGGCATTGATGTTAATAGTTCAGGTAGATAGAAATGTAAAATAAACAAAATTTACACTGAAACATATAAGAATACAAGAAATAACAAGAAATTTTTTAAAGTATTGAAGGTTTTTAATTAATTAGTTAATTAATTAACTTTAAAAGTAGATTAGAAAGAAAGAAGCAATCTTTCACTGTAGAGTCCTGTCATGATGAGAGCTACCGTGAGTCAAAATGATGAACAAGTAAAACACAAAAATGAATGAAACTGCAAGAAGTCCTTAAAGTAAAACTTCAGGGCTTTGCATTGTGCCATGCATTCTCAAGATTATCTTTGAAAATTATAGATTTAAATGCTACTATGTATGAAATAAATAAAACAGAACTATTTAGTTTGTGAGGGCAGTGGAGGAAATAATGTAGAAAATATTTTGAATTTATTTTAGCTTACCCTCTAAACATGAGGTTAGTGTAACTTTCAAACTAAGATCTGGACAGCATTTCCCACCAAGTAGGGTGTTCCAAGGCCCTGGCCCTGTGGCTTAAGCATCTTATGGAGGCAGAGTTGTAAGTTATCAGAAAGATGCTGTAGTGAAAATCATCAGAAGGAAACAATGTTTTGAAATGAATCAATATTTCTTACAAATACACAAATAATTATTTTTACTTCACACTACAAGTAAAAGAAGCATGAAGTCATAATAATAAGTTCTTGTGTAATGACTATAGATACAGAGGATCAAGGAGACAAGATGATTCATAAAATGATAATCATGCATATAGAAACAATCCAAAAGGTAAAAACTACAGATAATATCAAGAAAAATCTTGATTAACACATTCTTAATACTTTCAATGAGTTTTTAATATAAGTGACTTATAGAATCTTGATAATGTCCAAGAAAGGTAGCAAAATCATTCAAAGACTTTTAGTACTAAGTTTTAACTCAGATGAAAATATATATATATATATATCCCCCCCCCCAGGAGTAAGGAGAGTAAGGAATATGGATGAAGAGAGAACAAAGGATAAAAGTGAGTTAAATTAGGCATGTTGATGTGGATGTCTATCATGATAGAATATTCTGAGAGAAAAGTAATTTAGGAAAGAAAAGGTTTTCTTCTTTTCCTTCCTTCCTTCCTTCCTTCCTTCCTTCCTTCCTTCCTTCCTTCCTCCCTTCCTTCCTTCCTTCCTTCCTTCCTTTGCTGTGTGCGTGTTATCATTGTTGAATGAAATAACACTCTTGTATTCTATAATATGAAATTTGAAGGTTTCCACAGGCACACTATAAGCCACTCTTTATAATTTTTTCTATTTATGTTTTGTGAATATGGAGAAATATTTGATTGCAAAAATCATGACTAACTCAGCCCCAAGCCTCACAAAGAAATTTTAAAGAACAGTTTCTTTAGCAATGTTTTCATATGTGTACATTATTTGCCTAGCAGTTAGTACCAACAGAATTAGCATCCTAATTTGAACTTTAAAATATTCTTTCTTTATGTAGCCATGTCAATTTAACCTAAATAAATGCAAATCCAAGAGTTTTAGCCATAATTTATAAGGTTGGACTCAAGTATTTTTATGAAGTATAATCCCTCAGAGTTTACACTTTCAGCCTTATTTGAAGTTATTCTTTGTTATAATTGTTCTGCAATAGCTTAAGTCTGCTTTTAAATGCAGTGCTCACACTCTGTACTTCAGTGAGTCTGGTCCTGGCATGATTACTAAGGAAAGTAGAAAGAATTATTATACAGTTTTCCAGTGGGCCTCAGGAAGTGATTGGCCTTGATGTTTGAGACATGTATTTAAATCAAACCAGCAAAAGTAGAATAAACTATTCGAAGCATGTTTTTGAACTCTCTGCCAGTGCAGTACATAAATCACTTCAGGCCCATAGGCAGAGAACACAAAAGGATTCAACTTCAGACATAAAGGAAAACCATCTAAAGACAGGGAGGAATTTTAATTAAATTTGGAGTGCACGTCAAAGCACCAAGTCAAAGCATTAGCTGTGTTCTGCATGGATGATGATTGACTTCAAATTCACCATGCCTCAGCCAGGAAAATTCAGCAAGCCTCCGGGGGCCTCACATACAAGACAGCACTTCTAGGAAAGACTGAATTCTTTTTGCTTCTTTA